CAATTAGTATAACCATAGACCCTGGTATAACAATATATATATATATAGATTTTTAGTTATAAATATTTTATATAAAACGTTTCACGAGTTTCTGAAATGTAGTGTACTTTTACATTTATAAAAAAAAGTAATGTTATTGCATTTCCCTAAATTCTACATTACAATTAACTCTTCGGTTGCCTCGCACTGACGAATCTAAGTAAATGAAAGATACACATTGAGAACGAACGATTTGGTATGATACAGGGCGCCCTCAGCGTCTACGACTCTTGAGTAGTACTTTTAAAAATCCGACAAGTACGCCTAGGACATAACGAAGGGACACATTATCTAATTAGGAACGCAATCAGTATGCTTTATTAATAACCAGAAATTACCATTAACACAGCCGTATTATCATCAACTGGCCTCATTATCGAAAGAAGATGTTGTTAGCGAATAACAATCCCACGGTGCGTAATTATCTTCTACGCGCATTACAGTAAATGACGTTCTTTGATAAGCAAGGAGATGGAAGAAAGTATTCGGTGAACGACGAGTTTATAAAATGACCGCAGGGAATAATTAACTACATCTGTACGCTAAGATACATCTCTTCAACTCATTGTCAGGTCTCTAAAGCATTTAACGGACAATCATTGCGCTTGGCGCATTTCAACACTTGTATTCAAGTTCGTGCGCTGAGTACGAGAACTCGCCTTCACCCTCACCGCCACCGCGCTACGTTGCACGTGATCAACACTGTTATGTACATTAATTTCACTTGGAAGTTATTTTCGACGAAGGAATGCATCAGTGGAAATACTTTTCTTTTCTTTATTTTACATTTAACTCATATAAAATCTGTGAAATATTGTTCATACAAAACGAAAATTCAGCGTAATTCATGTAGTGTATAATTACATTAAAGGGGCGAACCATGATGTCTTTCGGGGGTGCAAGTACGATTCATGTGTATACAATTCGCCCCTGGGAGAGTGATTTGTTTTTCAGCCCTGTATTCGGAAAGTCGTCACAAAATTATCTCTTGCATCTAATCTTGATGAGTGAATAAGAAATGAACAGTCCAATTCCACCGATTTGCTGTTTCTTTTTCAAAATATATCAGAAATTTGACATGATTCCCAACGGCAATTGTATATTGCAGGGTCACGTCTCGATAGCATGCCCAATGATTATGAAGCGAACGCAAGGGGGGTAAACATTACAATTCAGACTTGAGATAATCGAACAATGAAAAAATGCAGATATTTATTATTTATTTGATAGAATAATATACCTCATACGGTATTTGTAAACTGCATTATGGACCTGTGCCTACCCCCACCTCCCACCCCTCGGCAATTGGGTCAATGAAATATATATATAGCCGCCGAACGGAGTGGCGGGAGATTACACAGCAACGGTGTAGCAGTAATATTGCGAATATCAATGTAAAACTGGTTTAAAAATTCCAGCCGCATCTAATAAAATCGATATTTTCAGACAGACCATACAGCCAGCTGTACGTTTACTGTACTCGCTGAAAAATGAAAACGTATTAATTTAGATGATATTATGATATTCATAAGTGCTTTGTTCTCGTCTAATTGCCTGCCTTGTTCGCTATATATTTCCATTTCTCCTGGATTCAGTCGAGTTGAAAATAGAGAAGAAAAAAAAAAGAATTGGCTGCGTCCAATCCTATGTAATCAATAACCGGCATGGGTACGCGTAATTGGAATGGCGTGTGATGCACAAGCTGAGTCTCAGTTTATCAAAGAAATTCATTAAATGTATAATATCAGTGACTGTCATGTCGAGGCTTAATTGTAAATTTCAGTGGAATTTCATTTCCTTGTAATTTGGTTGTAATTGAACGCAATCTAGTGAGGTTAATTGCGTATTTCATGGGTGTCTTATTGCGACATTGTACACGAGCATTAGAACAACACTTGTCACTGTATTCTGAGAATACGGTATTGATTGCGACTATTTCTGTTTTCGAGCTGCACGTCGTTGTTTAATTGATTCCGTGCGTAGCCTTTACTCAATCCCGCCACGTTCGGCGCAGTTTAGTATGACGTCATTGTCTATCGCCTATTTTTTTACGGAGATGGGTGGGTTGATGATGATGTAATGTGATATAACCAACATGGAATAAATATACTAGTATTCCGTATCCACGTGTATTTTATTCTGGTCCAGGGAACATACACCTAGATGCGGAGGCAGAAGCAGGGTCGATTTATATAATTTAAAAGCATCATTCTTTATCGAGACAATTTCTATCAGGGTGAGGGTTGACGTATATCACTGGCTGATCCAGAAATTCGGTAAGGGGAGGCGCTCCTATTGACGTGGCCGAAGTAAACCTCCGGTGGGCTGCTAGTGGGCTTGTCAATTGATTTTTTTTTTTTTTTTTTTTTTTTTTTTGTCGACTGAAGGACGCGCGCGCGCCTCCCCTAAATCCGCGCGTCGATATTTCTAGTGGCGATGGTTTTCAGCCAGAATACTTGTTCTGTTTATTTGACCATGGACATCTACCTTCCATGATTGGACGATGTGCCATGTTCTCTATATTTGTTTTTTCTCTTATTGTTTTCTCTACAGTTTCTTTGTTTCTTCCTATTGTTTTTTTGTGTGTGTGGATTGTTTGTTTTTTCTCTATTGTTTTTCTACAGATTGTTTGTTTGTTTCTCCGATCGGTTTTTCTACAGATTGACTGTTTCTTCTATTGTTTTCTCTACAGATTGTTTGTTTTTCCATTAATTCCTCTACAGAGTGTTTGTTTCGTCTATTGTTTTCTCTACAGATTGTCTGTTTCTTCTATTGTTTTCTCTACAGATTGTCTGTTTCTTCTATTGTTTTCTCTACAGATTGTTTGTTTTTCCCATTAATTCCTCTACAGAGTGTTTGTTTCTCCTATTGTTTTCTCTACAGAGTGTTTGTTTCTTCTATTGTTTTCTCTACAGAGTGTTTGTTTCTCCTATTGTTTTATCTACGGGTTGTTTGTTCTTCATATTACTGTACTACGCAGATTGTTTCTCCAAATTGTTTTATTGTTCGTTTGTTTCTCCAACTGTTTTTAAACAGACTGTTATTTTCTCTCAGGATTAATTGTTTCTCCTGCTATTTTCTGAACAGATAGTTTCAGTCTTCAAGTTGTTTTCTCCGCAGATTAATTGTTTGTTCGATTGATGTACTATGTACATTGGTTATTTCTCCAATTGTTTTCTCTGCACTGGCAGTTTGTTTGTTTCTTTCTTCTATTGTTTTTTTTTTCTTATTCCCTATGGAGTTGCTTGTTTTTTTCTATTTTTTTTTTCTCTACATAAACAAGTCTATGAAGAGATATTAGTGAGAATGTTGAAATGATTTAAAGTAGGGGGGTCATCACCTGCGCACGCGCGGGAATTGAGTCCCAATCGACGATAACAACACACGCTAAAAACGCAAAGGCTTATGGGTGTCTACAATGACACGCTATGGCCATCTGACGCATGCGCAGGTGACGACTTCCCCGCTTTAATATTTCCTTACAGTTTCGTACAATTCAATCCAAATTGTTGTCTTCCCATGTAACATTACTTGTAATACATACAATTTAAAATTTCAACATAGACAGTTGTTAAGCTCTCATCAGGCTCCCCACAATATTGAATAAAGTGGTGGGGGTCACCAAACACTCTGTGTTCTGTTCGAAAAAAAAATGGTGAAAAAATGGGATGAAAATAGCATGTTTTGTCACAGTTTTCAATGGAAAGGATATATGTCAATATCTAACGATATACTGTAAAATGACTAATTTTCACTGGGTTTAAATTTCACTGATTTAGTATTTCAAGAATATTCAGTGGGTTTTAAATTCACGGTTTTATAATTTAGATAATGTGTTTTATGCTCAATTCTACATAATCACTGTGTTTTAATTTAGCGCATTTTCCAGTCAGCGAAATAAGCAAAATTAAAACCCAGTGAATAATTACCCCCTTTTACAGGATAGTGGTTTATAGAGATTTGTGGATGTCTACAATACATTATTATTTAGTGGGGTTTTAATGGCGGTTGTCTTTTGAATTTGCTGTCATATTGGCAGTTTATGTGTATTATTAGGCAGTTTTTTTTCAAAAAAGCTGACAGTGAACATCAAATCCACTTACTGTTGACTTAAATACATAAATATAGATATATAGAAACATTGTCATTGCTATATGCGATAAAATGTGTGCACATGTCAAACTCTTGGTGGCGCTCTGCGTTACAGAATTTGGAGCACATGAGTTACAAACAAGCACACGACGAAATGGTAAGTAAACGCGGAAGTGGGTAAGATTGTGGTGAAAACTGCTGATATTATGAGACCGACATCGTTATGGTTATACCGTATGCATTACGTAACATCTATTGTTTCTCGTGGTTTGGAATGATCGCTGATTTTGAGTGAAACGTTCGCGTGTGAATGAAAAATGAATGATCTCACTCACTGTCCAAGTAACTGTGAAATGATGATTAATTGTCTCTTAATAATCACAGTTAAATTAAATTCATAATATTTTTAGAGATTGGTTTGTTTTTCAATAGGAACCCTTATTGTCGACAAATATTTTCGAAGGTATTTTGAATAGGTATTTGGGGCATTCCATGAAAAAGTGTTGCTCATATTCTATTTGAAGAAGTGCACATTGACCACAAATTCTGTTTTCTAAATGTGTTTTGGGATTGTTTTTGTCTTCCCTTTTCAATAGCTAGGCCATGGTTGGTTGTTCTGAACTGTAGTATTTCAGGGTTGCTGCCACACTATTTGTAAGAATGTTGTTCAAATGACACACTTGGAACTGTGTTGAAAGGTTAATACCACACCAGACGACAGTTTGAATTTGAATGGTGAATTGATCATACTCATTCTGTATCATGAAACGTGATTTACCATATTCCAAATACAGCTAATTTACACAGGTGTTTGAACACACATGTCTGCTTGTGATTTGTATTTGGCTGCCATTTGTGGTACAAATGGTGAATTAGGTGCCATCTATTTAACCATGAGATGAATCTGACTCAAATGGGTCTTACCGGTAATATATGTTAATGTAACTGTTACCTTTATATACCATTCATAGCGTATCCATGGAGACATGTTTTAATTCCATTGTAAACATGAAGGGGTAGCAATATTCAGCATGTGTCAACATCATTTACACCCAAAATGAAAATTTGACGAAAAATATTTGTGAGCATATCTTTTGATAAATTTTATTTGTGAGTTCACAGATCTGGTGTGGCCAGACCTGTTTCTCCGTATGATTTCACGCAGGACTAGTGGCCATGCTGGATATGGCTAAATCTGATTTATAGTGGTTTAATAAAAGGGATTTTGAAATTAGCGTTATTAACATTGTGTTTTGATCATCCAGGGTACTCCAATCAAAGATGTCACTATCAGTTCCAAAGCTCCAACGTCTTTTCTCGGTGACAAACACTCTGAGTTCATTGCAGCGTATGGATCAAAGAAAGATTACAAATATGTAAGTATATGTAGAACTGTACATACATACCAGTATGTATCACATGGCCACATTTTCTCCTAGGTCTTTGGTAAGGGTTTTATACTTGTAACTATTGTGGATAATACTGCATGGCAAATGGAAAGAAAATAACATGGAAATCTGGGTATTTTCCAGATTCATGAAAAACCAAAGCATGTTCATTCATATTGATGAAATCTCAAGTTGTTAAAACATAAGCCAAACGACGACTAAGCTGCCATTGCCTAGAAATTGAAGTTGGGAGACGTATACGTCCCAAAACACCAGCTGATGAAAGAATTTGCAAAATTTGTAAAACAACAGCAGTCAAAATACATTTCATAATGCACTGTCAAATATATTCAAATAAAAGACCAGAATTTTATGAACAATTGAACAGAAAGTACAATAATTTCTCAACACACCACTGCATAGACAAATTCACAATGATTTTAAACACTACAGAGCCATTTCTGCCCAGACATGTTATCAGATACATAAACAATGCTTTTACCAAAGACACTAAAAAAAGAGGGACGAGCGACAGGATGTCCAACATCGGGATTTTCAACCCGCTATTTTAATCCTTCTAACAGTCACCAACATACGTGAGATCAATAAAAATATCGCAGTTGCACATCCCTCTTTCTCTGGTGTCTTTGCTTTTACTAAAAGACAAGTACTAATTTAAATACGCTGTTTTTCATGTTATATCCATTTAAAAAAAAAGAAGACTTTTTTAAGTACAAACCATAGAAGATTTTTAATTTGTTTATGAGTTTAATAAAGATTATTATTAATGTAGCAAAATTAAATTTAAATGTTAATGTCAACGGTAGTGACATAACATCATGTATAACCACCATTCTATGCAGGAATATGCCATGACAGAATATCTTCGAATGAGTGGCATTTACTGGGGATTGACCGCTATGGACCTACTTGGTAAATTGCATAACATGGACAAAGACAAAGTAGTTCAGTTTGTGAAGGATTGTCAACACGATTGCGGTGGAATCAGTGCTAGTAATGGACATGATCCGCATATGCTATATACACTTAGTGCTGTACAGGTTAGTACATGTACTTCTACATGTAATATATTTTCATAAAATATGCATTTATGTAAATTTTGAACGTGTTGCATAGTCAGAGCTAAAGTCGCTTTCTCCGGTCCACTATCAAGTCATATGCAATTGGGGTATGTGGACCATTGATATTCCTTAGTTTGTATAATGTTCAGTCATGAAACTTTTCTATCACAATAGGGCTCGATGTTTGCATGTGACATAAATAAATTGATTCATGAACCAAATCAATTGAATAACATGAATTTGAACCAGTGAATCGACTTGGGAATACAATCCAAACTACTCTCAAAAAATAAATGACTCCAGTGTTCTCCCAGACGCATTTTTAAGCATCATGGCTAATTTACATAACAATGCATCTAATTTGCATAATTATATTTGCATAATATTTAGTTTCCCTACTAAAATAAAGAAAAGATATTTTTATATCTCATCTATTATATATCATTTTACTTCATTGTATTTTATGTGTGCATCAAGTCAAATAAAGTTTGAAATAGAACAGCAAAAAAAAGTGGAAATACTTAAAGTCAGTCAGTGAATATATTGTTATCAATGGAGGTAACTGGTTCATCATTATTTTGTGTGCAACAAGTACATTCAGTTTTATGTCAGTTCATATGACATCGAGGAAAACATTTTTTGGTTAAATTTGTAAGATCTGTGAGATTGCGAGTTATCAAAATATGATGACATTATTAAATCAATAATGACAACATTTTTTTTTCGCAACGGCATTTCAAAACTAAAGTCTGCGATTTGTTATTGACCTTATACCTCATGCGTAGCGATACGATCACCGTAACATCGTCAGCTATTGTTGCGATCATTGCTATCTGACTTTTTGGTGAACAAATACCAAATTTAGAATGTTTTGTTAATTAAAACGATTCATTGACGATTATCTTAGAATTTACATCAAAATTGCCAACAAGATGTTGTTTTTGAACATCGCGAAAAAACATGCACTCTGCACCGTCATATTTAATACCTCAATCGAAATCCCTTTGTAACCCATCATGCATTGTTCGTGATGTCAAAACGTGTGGGGGGATTGGCACAGGAGGGCGCCGTCCAATTTGGATGGAACATCTTGAAGTCAGTCATTTGTACCCCATCGTCGAAGCACCAACATCCCGTTTACGAACAGATGAAATCATTTCAGTGTTTTTACTGAGTAATTCTCAACGAAATATAGAAACATCACATACAAATATACAGGTTCGAAAATTATGTCTATAGCAAAACAATTTAACCGCCACAAGTTTCTTGCTGGAGTGAGTTCCACATGTGATTTTATTGCGTTAAAAATTTTTCCATTTCAAACTGCGCATGCACACACACAGTTATTTCTCGAAATGTATACTAATTAGGTATCTTGTTGCTGGTGAAAGTTATTGAAAACATTTTGAGCAATAGTACTAGAGTGAAATATAAACATGCTTCTGCATTCTTAATGAATTTCATAGGTTGCTATGATCATGGTAAAGAAAAAACCTGTGGTTACTTTCAACAGTTTGCTGGAGTCTGATCAAAAACCTGTCTCAAAAAACACCTTTACATCAGTTTTTTGATTATTTTTGTGTTATCGGAAAGCATTTTGGCAAAATTTTACTACAAAGTTAAGATTTTCATTGCTCATGAATATTAATTTATGTAAATGAGACGATTATTTCAACCAATCGTGTCATGCAACCCCCTGTCTGTTACGTCGCCTTAGGGCAGTGTTCCTCGGTAATGAGGCACTCTATGAAAGAGGTACTTCCAGAGGTCAGGGTTTGTTTTTTCTTCTCGTCCACAGTTAAATAATTTTTTCTTCGATTTATTTACAGTTTTCCTTTCAATGCGACTTAATTTCACTTGTTTTTTTATAAATTTTTGGTAATTAGGTAGTGTCACCAGCAATGAAGTAGTAAAAACTGCAATTAACAGCAGTGCAGCAAATTGGGATAGATCATCCCGATGTACCCTGCTTTGTGTTTTGTGAGACTTGTTTTGTCACATTACTACCCAAGTATTTGTTTTTGGATTTGCAGGCTTCGCACCCTTGAAATACTTGGTAACTTTTTGTAGATTTCCGTTTTTAGCACTGTTTCCGTATGTCTAACAAAAGCGAGATTACCTTTCAATCAATACATGTTATTGTTTTAAAGTTGTGCAGACTGACACTTGTAAACAATACAATAAGCATTGTGAACAAGATTTCAAGGATCATGGGCGAAACGAAAGCGACGTCGCTTTTTGGTTAAGTGACGCAGGCCTGCAGTGCTTGAAAGGCCTGGAGAGAACACTGTACTCTGTAATACTCAGTGATTTGGATATTCACCGGACATCATCAATAAGTGTTTTCTGTTAATTTACTGTTTCATAGAACAATTACCCGAAAAGTACCTTCCAATCATTGGCTATAAATTCCTCTATCACAAAAAACGTAGATCGCATCAAATATATATTCTAATCATTCTCAGATATATATTTTAAATATCAAAAAGTTGTATTGTTACTGCATTTAGGCACTGAATGACTCAATTATTAAACATTCATTTAAAGGTACCTACAAAATTGTCACAATAGGTCAAAGGCCGCCGCACTGATCACTGGAATTATATAATGGCTAAGGTATTGGGATTGGTCAAGTTGTTTTTAACTGAAAATATTTAGGAATATTTTATAAAAAACACATTCATACCTTTTCTAAACACATTGTACTAATAAAACATTGTTTTTCATTCACGGAAATCAATAAAACAAGACAAAAGACAATTTCATCTTAATTCCGATTATACATTGAGGTGATAATGTCCACTCTTGGAATTTGCTGTGTTGTGACCATTCAAATTATCTGCAACACTGCCCTCTAACTATAGGGAATTGATTACTTTGTTTTTCTCATTAAATTTGTCTTTTTGCATTAGATTTTAACGTTGTATAACAAAGTGGACGCCATCAATGTGAATAAAGTAGTAGACTATATCAAAGGCTTACAGCAAGAAGACGGGTCGTTCACCGGAGACAAGTGGGGTCAGTGTTGTTTTTGACCTTGTTCTTAAGCTTCTTCTAATTTTTCTTCTTAATGAAGCGGCTGAAATCACTAAGATTCACTGTGTGTTTGACTTACCTGATTGACACCCTCACTTCATTTCTCTTCAGCCCTCTGCCTTCCATGCCCCTCTACCCCACTCTCCCCCACCCTGCCCACTCGTAATGGTTGATTTATGTTTTTGCAGGTGAAGTTGATACAAGGTTTTCATTTGTTGCCGTAGCTTGCCTCTCGTTACTGGTGAGTACGGTGGGTTACAAAAAAAAAAAAAGAAAATTTATATAAATTGACAATTGATTATGGTAATGTTAGTATGACAATGTTTTTTAAAATTAATTTGCTTTTTAATTAATTTCAGGGTCGTCTTGATGAAATCGATGTGGATAAAGCCATGGAATTTGTTTTAAAATGCATGAACTATGATGGTGGGTTTGGATGTCTACCCGGATCTGAATCTCATTCTGGTCAGGTAAAGCAATGATTTGTTCTGTTTTTTAGCTCCGCTGTCGACTTTGTCGAGCGGAGCTCATCATATGAGTGATTGTCCGTTGTCTGTGTCAATGTTTTACTTTTTAGCTCTGCTGTCGACTTTGTCGAGCAGAGCTTATCATATGAGTGATTGTCCGTCGTCGTCCGTGTCAATGTTTTACTTTTTCGACTTCTTCTTGAAAACTATAAGCCTGAATGCTTTGATACTTGGTGTATATGTACCTTGGGTAGACCTCTCTTATATTTGTTCATTTCATGATGATATCTTCAATTCTCTAATTTTGGTGAATATTTTTGTCATTTTTGGTAAAAAGTGTTATTTTCAACTTCTTGTTAAAAACCGTACATCCAATTGCTTTGACATTACATATATAGGTACTACATCATACATGTGGACCTTTCTCAGATTTGTTCATTTCATGATGATATCTTCAATTCTCCTATTTGGGTGAATATTTTTGTCATTTTTAGTAAAAAGTGATATTTTCGACTTCTTGTTAAAAACCACAAGTCCAATTGCTTTGATATTACATATATAGGTACTACATGTGGACCTCTCTCAGATTTGTTCATTTTCTAATGATATCTTCTGTTCTTTAATTGCCATGTGCATTGCTAACAGCGGAGCTATCTCAGCCGATAGGCTGCTTGTTTGACTTCTTCTTGAAAACTACAACCCTGAATGCTTTGATATTTGGTGTATATGTACCTTGGGTAGACCTCTCTCAGATTTGTTCATTTCATGATGATATCTTCAATTCTCTAATTTTGGTGAATATTTTTGTCATTTTTGGTAAAAAGTGATATTTTCTTCTTGTTAAAAACCACAATCATTTATGGTGAAAAATGATATTTTTGAATTCTTGTTGAAAACAGCAAGTCCCATTGCATTGATACTATGCATATTGTTCATTTTCTAATGATATCTTCTGTTCTATAATTGAAATGTGCATTGCAAACAGCAGAGCTATCTCAGCCGAGAGGCTGCTTGTTTTATTATTTTAATATGCAAATCAGTGACTGATTGTTTTATGACTTGAATTTGTTCGGTTCTATCTCTATTTCAGATCTACTGCTGCGTTGGTATGCTGTCTATCATTGGTCGTTTACATCACATAAATGCAGATTTGCTTGGATGGTGGCTGTGTGAACGGCAACTACCATCGGGTGGCTTGAATGGTAAGTTAGACTAGAATGGTGGCTTTGCAATTAGTAACGGTAAGCTACATGTGAAGGAGAGCCATTGGCACCACTAGTGTATACAATTGTTGTTGGCCGAGTGGCTTGGATGGTAGCTTTATGAACGACAACTGCCACAAGGGTTTTGCAACAATGAAATGTTTACTTATTTCAGAATTACAATGCAGGGTAGAATAATGCCGAGTAGCGACTGAATTGACTTTTAGAAAAAATGTTAACTACTGTAGAATAGTTTATTTTAGCTGGAATTAATTTTCACTGAAAAGACTTTTTGGGTGTTTTCTATGGAATTTATTTTCACTGATTTTTGAAAAGTTGAATGTAAAATATAGGAAAAAAGGCATATTCACTGAATTTTATTTTCACTGAATCATTCCATCAGCGAAAATAGCGAAAATTAATTCCAAGCGAAAATAAAGTATTACAGTAATCTGTGTTACAACAAAATTCAGTTCATTGTTCATACATGCTTAGATGAACTCAAACTCTAATGTTCATCCACACCACGGTTTTAGAGCATTTGTTAAAAATTTGTGGATGTGCTACAATAACATATAGTGATGATTCAATCTGTTTCCATGGTTGTGTACAATTCAAAAGACATCTTGTCTAGTTGAGAAAATTTTCCAGTTTGCTGTTACATATTTCCCACTAAGTTCTGATCAGCATCGTCAGTTTTGAATTCATTAACACAACTTGACATTGTATTGAGAGAGTGTGACTGCGATGAGAATACCAATATATTATCATAACTGTTATCTAGGTCGACCTGAAAAACTGCCAGATGTGTGTTATTCCTGGTGGGTGTTAGCATCGTTGAAAATCATCGGTAGAATACACTGGATTGATAAAAAGAAATTAGAAACTTTTATATTAGCGTGTCAAGATGATGAGACTGGCGGTTTCTCCGACAGACCTGGTGACGTGGTAGGTACACTCAGCATTATATTGCGTGGTAATTGTGTTCCTATCTGCTTTGATTTGTTCTTTTTTAATTTTAGACTCTGGCTCTATTTTATCATAGCACCTGTTTGTCGCGTCAAAAATTAATTTTTCGAGTACATTGATGTAAACAGTACAAAGTTTGAGAACCTATACTGCGAGTATGCAAAAAATGTTTTTTGCATTGGAAGTATTTTTCTTCTATTAACTGACATTCTGTTTTTTCCTCACCTTCACAGGTTGATCCATTTCATACTTTATTTGGAATTGCTGGTTTATCGTTATTAGGAAGTTTTCCAGATAAGATCAAAACTGTCAATCCTGTGTTTTGTATGCCAGAGGAAACGCTGGAAAGAATACGACTACATCCCCAAATACTTTCCTAGATGCTAAAACTTTCGTAAACATACATCGCTTAGTATGTAGACCAATGGAACATTAAGGCTCACAATTCAACATGTGATAGAATTGTGTGAATAACATCAAATTTTTGTTATATGTATGGCTATATTAAAGCGAGAGGGTCGTCACATGCGCGGGAATTCCCAAGCGACGATAACAACGCACGCTAAGAATGCAAAGGTTAATGACTCCCCTGCTTTAATGTAGGAACATCAAAATAACTTATTGCACATTCTGATTCATTAAATCTTCTTAATCAGCAGTTTATCAGTTTCACTGATGTACACATGCACAAAGTCATTGTTATTTGCAACTAGAGACATTTTAGCTAGTATTAGTTTAGGGTTACACCAGTACAACCAGTGGCTGGTGACCTCTCAATACCAAAACGGAACTCTTTTTATGCAAGCACAAAACATGTTTTGTTTTTTTAATTTCCTATTTATTGAACTTATGTACAAATAAAAACTCATCCAGAAACATTTCTCTTGTTTTTGACTAAATGGTACTCACTTTTAGACTTTACAATACGATATATACATAGGCAATTGTGGTCAATGTACTTACTATTAACCAAAGGAGGGGGTTGCTGGGTCGGGAAAGGCAACTGGCACATTTGTATTTTGTCTGCCTGCGAAGTGTACAGGTGCACTTAAATGCATCTGTCCATGATTTGACTGGCATTACATAAAGTTGAGATCCATAGACCCCCAACACATTAATGTACGTGAGTGTGAGTGATACCCACTAACATGACAAAGGTTTTGTTTCGGGCTTGAACCTTTGACATTCAATGAAATATTTGTGACTAAAATTTATTCAAAGATTTGTTTTCTTTCTTCTTTTCAAAAGCAGGCTATCCTTATCTTACAAAAAAATATAAATATTTTGGAATGTACATTTCAAGATTGGTCACAGTCTGAATACACAAACATTGTCGTCAGTCAATCTGTCAGCTTCACGCTTCCAGCTTTGGTTTATATCCAACAATTTCATCCCAGCCTTTACGACATGTCTTGACTATCCAATCATGTTCATCATCATCTGAAATGAAACAATAGATCGATGGAGTGTATAATAATTTTTTTTTATGATATAAATTTTATGTATGACTAACAAAATTACACAGCCTTTCATTTAGGCAAAACAAAATACACACAAAAAGCATGACCCCCCCCCCCCACCCTGCAGTATGTATATGTTGGAAGAGGGGAAAAAGTCATCGTAAACCTTAACCTGTTATGACCTTAACCATGATTTCATATCAAACGTCCCACTA